ACGAATACTCATCCGCCCCAACTATATGCCGCAAGAAACCGAACGGAACCGCCGTACGCCGGCCGAACTGACCCAAAACCCGTCATTCCCACTTGCTGGGGCCACCACGCTGTTACGACAAACCTTCAGTTAGGACCACGCCGCAGGCAGAATCCCGCAGACACAGGAGGCCATCATGGCAACCGAATCAACCGCCGGCATCACCGTCTACGGGGCCGAATGGTGCCCCGACTGCCACCGCTCCCGTCGCTACCTGGACAGTCAGGTAGTGGAATACGCCTACGTCGACGTTGACGGCGATGACACGGCCCAGGCCTACGTCAAACAGGTCAACGACAACCGCCTCATCATCCCGACCATCTTGTTCCCAGACGGATCGGTGCTGGTGGAACCGTCCAACGCCGGACTGGCTCGCAAGCTTCGCTCCTAACCGATCCTGCCGGATTGCCCCGTATCCCGGATTCCCGTACTGCCTTGGTTTCGCCGGTACTATACTCCTTTTTCCCGATTTACAATGACCGGGTTTCATCCCGTTCCTACCTAGGTTCCCGGTACTCCGAGGGTTTGCCCGTACTCTCCGGGTTGCCCGTACTCGTGCCGTGGTTGCCCGGTACTGGACTCTTAACCGGGTTGCCCGGTACTCCGGGTTGCCCGGTACTCCGGGTTGCCCGGTACTCCGGGTTGCCCGGTACTCCGGGTTGCCCGGTACTCCGGGTTGCCCGGTACTCCGGGTTGCCCGGTACTCCGGGTTGCCCGGTACTCCGGTATTGACCAAACGCCAGGCTATTCGGGAAACTCCAGCAACTGCAGCACGTTCCCGTCGGGATCTGTCAGCGTGGCAACCCAACCGCCCCAGTGTTCGCGCTCCGGTGGCCGAATAAAATCGACCCCTTCGGCCACCAGTCGGGAGTGTTCAGCGTGAATGTCGCCAACCCCCAGGTGAGGCATCACCCGCAACGGGTCCCGGGATTGTCCGCTCACTCCGGCGTGTCGCCCCACGTTGAAGCGCACTTCGCCCAGCTGGAAGGCTACAAACCCTTCGTCCTCATGGATTGAGTGCAGGGGCAGCCGGAGCACATCGCGGTAGAACCGCAGCATCCGGTCCAGGTCGTCAGTCCACAGCGTAATGCCGACGACAGCGTTAACCACGGGCGGCTATGCGTTCGCGGTGCTGCAGGCACCGCACCAGCCGTGGAAGTCAACCCGTTGCCACATCAACACCTGAAGCATGCTCTCTCGTGCGAGCACCTCATCCTCTGCAACATTGCAGGATGCACAATCGCTGCTATCTTCCGCGTCGGCAATATTGCCGCACCCGACGCAAACCAGGTTGACATGCGGCAACGTTGCTCTCGTACCGGGACTGCTTCGCAAAGGGCAATTCCTGGATCAGCCCGCTCTTGGACAGCACGCCCAGCGTCGAATACACCGTAGCCAGCGTCATAGACGGGAAATGCTGCTGCACACGTTCGTGAATCTGCTGCACGGTTGGGTGGTCGGTCGAGTTCAGCACTGCTTCGGCGATGGCCAACCGTTGGGGCGTAACCCGCACACCGCCCTGACGCAGTTGTTGCACCACGGCATTTTGAATCATCAGTGCCTCCGTAGTAGCTACCGGAAGCCCAGCACAGAGCCAACGCCAGCGTATGCGCCGAGTATAACATCCGCTCAAATCCCCAGCAAACCGGCCTTTCGTCATCGCACCAACCTCCTGTCATCGCACCGGCCTTCTGTCATTGCGAGGAGCACAGCGACGTGGCAATCTCGATGAGCTCGATGACGCCGAACACACGTCGACAAACCGCCGTTGCCACGCCGACGAGATTGCCACGCTACGCTCGCAATGACAAAGGCGGGTGCGCGTGAACGTACCCCGTCCCACGCCTACCCGCCTTAACCTGTCATTGCGAGGAGCGCAGCGACGCGGCAATCTCGATGCATGCTCGATGTACCCACCCGAACAGCACGTCGACAAACCGCCGTTACGCTGGCGGAGTGCGGAGCGGTCCGACCGTGATCGCCACGCTCGAACGCGCAGCATCACAAAGTGGGTGCGCGTGAATGTACCCCGTCCCACGCGTACCCGCCTTAACCTGTCATTGCGAGGAGCAGAGCGACGTGGCAATCTCGATGAGCTCGATGAAGCTGAATACACGTCGGCGCACCGCCGTTGCCACGCCGACGAGATTGCCACGCTGCGCTCGCAATGACAAAGTGGTGCGCGTGAATGTACGTTCCCACGCGTACCACAGCCTTAACACTGTCATTGCGAGGATGCAGGGCGATCGTGCAATCTCGATGAACTCGATGTAAGCTGAATACTACGTCGGTCGGCGCATCCGCCGTTGCACGCCCGACGAGATTGCCAATCTCGCTGCGCTCTGCAATGACAACGTGTGGGTCTGCGTTGCGCTTGCCACTTGCCTCACGCGCAGCTTCTCCTTCCCCAAGATTTCTCTGCTCGTCGCTTGAGCGCGCGCGTCGCGCGTCGTTTGCTCTCGCTAACGGGCTGAACACACGTCGACAACCGCCATTGCTACGCGACGGCTTGCCACGCGACGCGTCGCATTGAACAATGTGTGCTCTTGCTGGCTACGGACTACTCCGTCATTGACCCCCCAGCGGCCCTGTGGGACAATGCGAAGTTAATAACGCAACTACTCTCAACTGCAATACTCTGCGAAAATTGACCTGTTCCCCATCACTGTTTCCCGCACCACATGTTTCCCGCACCAAAGGTAGGTTACCCGCCATGTGGACTGGTGATGATTTACAACGACTCGTGCGCCGGGAACTCGCCGAATATCGGCTCATCGTAGTATCCAACCGCCAACCTTACGCCTTCCGCATTGAGAACGGCCAACTGGTCGGCGAAATGCCACCCGGCGGACTCACCGCCGCCATCGACCCACTCATGCGCGCCTGTGGCGGCACCTGGATCGCCCAGAGCGGCGGCGAAGCCGACCTGACGGCGATGGACGCTGACGGCCGGGTCGCCGTCCCCCTTGGTTCACCGGCCTACAACCTGCGCCTCCTCAACCTCACTGAAGCCGAAAACAACGGTTACTACTACGGCTTCTCCAACGAGGGTCTTTGGCCCCTGTGCCACATCGCCTACACCGAGCCCGTGTTCGACGCCCAGAACTACGAAACCTACAAGGCCGTCAACCGCAAGTTCGCCAACCTCGTCGTCGACGAAATTGGCGACCAGCCGGCCATCGTCCTGGTCCAGGACTACCACCTCGCCCTGCTGCCCCGCTACATACGCCAGGTCTGCGAAGACGTCATCATCGGTCAGTTCTGGCACATCCCCTGGCCCAACCCCGACATCCTGCGCATCTGCCCCTGGCAGGAAGAAATCCTGGACGGTATGCTCGGCAACGACCTGCTCGGATTCCACCTCGCCGGCGACTGCCACAACTTCCTCGATTGCGTGCAACGCAACCTCGACGCCCAGGTGGAACCCCAATTCGGCCTCGTCGATTATCAAAACGACATGACACTGGTGCGCCCGTTCCCCATCAGCATCGACTTCGACGGGCTCGACGCTGAGGCCCGCTCGCCGGAGGTTGAGTCGGAAATGGCCCGCCTCACTCAGGAATTCGGCCTCGATCACGGACGCATCCTCGGCCTCGGCATCGACCGCCAGGACTACACCAAGGGCATCCCTCACCGTCTGCGTGCCGTAGAACGGTTCCTGGAAAAGTGGCCCGAATATCAGGGCCGCCTCGTGTTCCTGCAGGCCGGAGCCACCAGCCGCACTAACATCGACTCCTACATGCAACTCACCATCGACATCGAATCCACCGTCAACCGCATCAACGAACGCTTCGGCGACGGCAACTGGCAACCCATCGCCTACTGGCCCACCTCGTTCCCCTCGGCCACCTTCTCCGCCCTGCGTCGCCTCGCCAGCTTCTGCGCCGAAAGCAGCCTCCACGACGGCATGAATCTGGTGGCCAAGGAATACGTCGCCTCCCGCGTCGACGAAGACGGCGTGCTCATCCTCAGCGCCTTCGCCGGCGCCTCCCAGGAACTCAGCAGTTCCATCATCATCAACCCCTACGCCACCGAGCAGTTCGCCGACGCCATCCATCAGGCCCTGACCATGAGCGACGAGGAGCGCCGTTTGCGAATGCGGCACATGCGCAGCATCGTTCAGGAAAATAACATCTACAACTGGGCGGGCCGCATCATGATGAACCTGATGCAGGCCAGCACCCCCGACCACGCCCGATTGCCCACGGCCCAAGCCATCTAACCCCCGGTCTCACGACGCAACCCCGCATAGATGACACCAACCCCTGATACCTGGCCGGCACTGCTGGCCCAGTTGGCAAAACAACCCGAAATCCTGTTGCTCCTCGATTTCGACGGCACACTGGCTGAGATCACCAAACGACCCGAGGACTCCGTACTGCGGCCCGGCAACGCCGCACTGCTGGAAGGCCTCGGCCGCAGCGCCAGATTCACCGTAGGCATCCTGAGTGGTCGTTCATTGAGCGACGTGTCGGGACGCGTGGGCGTACCCGGTCTCGTGTACGCCGGTAACCACGGCCTGGAAATTCGCGGCCCCGGGCTTGAGTACGTTCACCCCGCCGCCGCCGCGGCAATCCCGGCCATATCCGACGCCGCCGAGCGTCTCATCACCGACCTCGCCGACATTCCCGGCGCTATCGTGGAAGCCAAAGAGCTGACCCTCACCGCCCACTATCGGCTCACCCCCGTTCAGTATCACGACTCCATAGCCATGATCTTCCTGGATACCGTCGGCCCGCTGCTCGCTACCGGGTCCTGTCGCGTCACCGCCGCCAAGATGGCCATGGAACTGCGCCCCGCAGTCGACTGGCACAAAGGCCGCGCCCTGGAGTTGATCCGGTTCCAGCTCGCATCCGACGCTTTCCCCGTTTACATCGGCGACGACGAAACCGACGAGGATGCCTTCGAGTCCGCCCAGTCCGCCGGCGGCGCCGGCATCTATGTGGGCCCGGCGGACACCGAAACCCGCGCCGTCTACCGCTTCAATTCCCCATCCGACGTTTCAACCGCCTTGACCGACCTGCAGGCCTTGCGCTAACTCCAACCCGTCCGCTCCCCCTCAGCCCGCCCAAGCACGTTCGTCCTGAGCCTGTCGAAGGGCGCCCACTCACGCCCCCGCCCAAGCGCGTTCGTCCTGAGCCTGTCGAAGGGCACCCGCCCCCGCCCAGCACTTCGTCTGAGCCTGTCGAAGGCACCCCGCGCCCAAGCACGTTCGTCCTGAGCCTGTCGAAGGGCGCCCACTCACGCCCCCGCCCAAGCACGTTCGTCCTGAGCCTGTCGAAGGGCACACACTCATGCGCCCGCCCAAGCACGTTCGTCCTGAGCCAGTCGAAGGGCACCCACTCACGCTTCCGCCCCAGCACGTTCGTCCTGAGCCTGTCGAAGGGCACACACTCACGCTTCCGCCCAAGCACGTTCGTCCTGAGCCTGTTGAAGGGCACCCACTCACGCTCCCGCATACTCGCCATCAACCCACAATCCAGGCGGCTACCGACAATCGCAAGACCCTGCCCACTCAGGCAAGGCCTTTCGATTGGCCCCTCATGTCATTGCGAGCGCAGCGTGGCAATCTCGTAGCCGTATCGACCAAGGCTGTAGCCAACTCACCTTTGCCCGCTACGTTCCGATAATCAAAAGGCCCTGCCCACTCCGGCCTGACCCCTTTCGCAATCTTGACGGTGTGCTATTATTGGGCATCAGCAGGCACGACCCCGCCGGCCCACTCTCTCGTCGCAGCCCTGCCCTATTGCAGATGATTAACGCGATTTTCTTCGATTTCTATAACACGCTGGTCAGTTTCTGGCCGCCTCTGCCCCAGATCCAGCACGCCGCCTGCCAAAACTTGGGCATCCGTGTGCCCGCCGACCAGTTGGCCCGCGGCTACGCCATCGCCGACCTCTATTTCAACGAGCAAAACCACCTCAAACCCCTCGGCGACCGCACCCCTGAAGACCGCGACGCCTTTTTCGCCCGCTACGAGCAGATCATTCTCGAAGAATCGGGCGTCGCCGTGTCCCTCCGCATGGCCAAACAGATTTGGGACATGGCAATCTCCGTGCCCAAAGAATTCGTCAAGTTCGAAGAAACCCGCCCCGTACTCGCCGAACTGCAAAACCGTGGCTACCGTCTCGCCATCCTCACCAACCTGCGCCGCGATATGGACGAATTGACCCAGCAGCTCGACATCCACCAGTTCCTGGAATTCACCATCACGGGACGCGAAGTCGGCGAAAAACCGGCCACCGCCATTTTCGAGGCTGCTCTCAAACGGATGTCCGTATCTCCCGACCAGGCCATCCACGTCGGCGACCAACCCCGTTCCGACGTTCAGGGCGCCCGCGACGCCGGCCTTCACGCGGTTCTAATCGACCGCGGCGGCTACCACCCCGACGTTACCGACTGCCACCGCATCGACAACCTCGAAGGTCTGTACCCACTGCTGGACCAACTAACCTGCTGAGCCCGGCGAGGCCACGCCCTATCCGAAGTCGACACCGAGCACGCACTCCAATCATCCGCCCGACCCTTACGCCCGACCCCTTCCGTGAGGAGCCCTCGAAATGACCACTCAACCGCCCGCACACAGCCATCCCAACGACCCAGACCCCGTCCACGTCATCGTCTGGTACGACTATATTTGACCCTGGTGTTACGTCGGCCTGGAACGCGTCGACCAGCTGGAAAAAGAATACGACATCACCGTCGAAGGCCCGGCCTATTTCCTGCGCCCCGACACCCCGGAGGGTGGCCGTCCTCGCGACCCGCGCCCCGGTGAGTCCGACGACGAACTGACCGAACCGCTGCGCACCCACGCCCGCGAAGCAAACATCGTGATGCGCCCGCCCCGCTACACCCATAACAGCCTGCTGTCGCTGCAGGCCACCGAGTTCGCCCAGCAACAGGGCAAGTTCATGGAGTATCACCACGCCGCCTACGTCGCCTATTGGGACGAGCGCGTCGACCTCGGCGACCCGTCGGTCCTGGCCGACATCGGCCAGAGCGTGGGTCTTGACGGAGCCGCGTTGCGCCAGAGCCTGGAAACTGGCGAACACGCCGAACGAGTCATGGCGCAATACCACGAAGCCCTCGGCTACGGCATCAACGGTATCCCCACGTTCGTGTTCGACAACCTCCTGTTCACCGGCGCGCAACCCTACGAGGTATTCCAACGCGTAATGGACAAAGCCCTCGAAAACCGCGCCGCCGAACCCGAAGCGTAATCCCCCGTCTTCTCCGTCTTCTCCGTCTTCTCCCCGTCTTCCCGTCTTCCCTTTCAAAAAGGGCCAATCCAGCCCCGAGCCCGCCCGCAAACCACCGCCGGTTCCTCGGGGCAAACCAACGCCCCACCCGGCGCAAGACATCCCCAGCGAACCCAGCGCGCCAAACTCCCCTCTCCCGACGGGAGGGGCCGGGGGTGAGGGGCACTCCCCAACCGCTTCCGCCCCCCAACCATCTCCGTACCCTCAAACCCGCTCCCGGTACCCCCAACCCGTTCATCCTGAGCCTGTCGAAGGATCATCCCGAGCGCGTCGAAGGATCATCCCGAACCTGTCGAAGGACGTCCGCGTTGCCCGCCCTCGTCGCTGTGTGCTAGACTACCGCCGATCAAACGCGCCCCTTGTAACGAATTTCACAAACCGCACGCTCCCATCCGAAATCCCCGGCCAAAACAAGCCGAAGCTACGGTGCCGCAACGCAATGGACGACGCCACACGCGCACTCATCACCCATGCGGTCAACAACCAGCAGCAGAGCACCGTAACGGTTCTGTCTTCGCTGCTCGCGGTTGAAGACGCCATCGGCTACATCCCCAAAGAGGCCGTTGATTCCGTAGCCGACCGCATGGACGCCACCATCAACGACGTGTGGGCAGTGGCCACCTTCTACCCCAACTTCCGGTTCGAGCCGCCCACCGAGCATCGTATCGAAGTCTGCTGGGGCCCGTCCTGCCACGTCATGGGCGCCACCGCCATCATCGCCGCTGCCTTGCAAACTCTCGACTTGGCTGATGAAGGCGACACCCCCGATGGCAAGGCCACCCTGCGCTACAACACCTGCTTGGGAGCCTGCGCACACGCTCCGGTAATAGCCGTCGACCACCACCTGGCCGGGCGCATCACTCCCGAAACCGCGCGCGCCAAAATTGTCGCTAGCCTGTCCGCCGACGCCCACCACTGAACGCACCGGCTCACCACGTTATGACCACCGCCGAAACCGCCACTGCCTTCGATAGCATCCTGGCCGAAGCCAACCGACGCTGGCAGGCGCTGACTGCCGGCGATGCCCCGTGGATTCGCGTCGGCACCGGTTTGGCCGGCGAGGCCGCTGGTGGATTTGAAACCATCGCCGCGGTGCGCGCCGCCCTGGATGCTCAGGGTGTGAACGCCAACGTATCCCAGGTGGGAACCCTCGGCCTCTGCTTCGCCGAACCCCTGCTGGACGTGCAAACTCCCGGCGGTCCCCGCGTCTTCTACCAGCGCGTAACGCCTGAAATCGCGGAACGCATCGTTACTGAGCACGTCGGCGAGGCAACCCGATCACCGAACACGCCCTCGGCTACCTGGGCGACCGCGACGACGCCCCGGCCGGCATCCCCCACCTCGACGACCACCCAATGCGCGCCCTTGAGCATCGCATCGCCCTCCGCAACGCCGGCCACATCGACCCTCCGACATCTATCAGTACATCGCCAACGGTGGCTACGCCGCACTCAACAAGGCCCTCACCCAGATGGATCAGGACGGAGCGCTCGGCGAAGTGCGCGCCTCCGGTCTCCGTGGACGCGGAGGCGCCGCCTTCCCGGCCGGCGTCAAGTGGGGCTTCCTCGCCGGCAATCCCGATCCCAACAAATACATCCTTTGCAACTGCGAAGAGGGCGACCCCGGCGCGTTCAACGATCGCGGCATCATGGAAAGCGACCCCGCCACCGTCATCGAGGGCATCACCATCGCCGGCTACGCCTGTCGCGCCAACCGGGGCTACATCTTCATCCGCCACGGACACTCCCAGCCCATCGACCGAACCCGCGCTATCATCGAGCAGGCCTACGAACTGGGCTTGCTGGGCCAGAACATCCTGGGCACCGATTTCTCCTTTGATATGGAGGTTGCCCTCACCGGCGATTCCTACGTGTCCGGCGAAGAAACCGCCCTCATGGAAGCCATCGAAGGCAAACGCTCCATGCCCCGTTTCCGGCCGCCTTTCCCGGCGCAGGTTGGCTTATTCGGCAAACCCTCCAACATCAACAACGTTAAAACCCTGGCCTACGTGCCGGAGATCATCGCCCGGGGCGGCGAGTGGTTCGCCGGCATCGGCACCTCCGCCGACCGCGACCGGGGCATCAACGGCAGCAGCGGCACGGCCATTCTCTGCCTCACCGGCGCCATCACCTACCCCGGCATGGTGGAAGTCCCCCTCGGCATGACCCTGCGGCAGGTCCTGTTCGATATGGCCGGCGGTGTACCCAACGGCAAGCAGATGAAGCTGCTGCAAACCGGCGGCCCCCTCGGCGGCGTCCTGTCCGCCAGCGACACCAACCTCGATCTGGTCCTTGACTTCGACGTGTTTCGCAACGCCGGCGCCATCCTCGGCTCGGGCGGCATCATCATCGCCGACGAGGACACCTGCGCTGTCGACCTCACCCGCAACCTCATCGCCTTTTGCCAGTACGAATCCTGCGGCAAATGCTTCCCCTGCCGCATGGGTATGAGCCACCTGCTGGAAATACTGGAACGAATCAGCAACCTGCAAGGTACCGAGGAAGACCTGACCCTCATGCGCAGTATCGGCGAGAATATGCAGGCCGGCTCTCTCTGCGGACACGGCCAGCTCGGTTTCAACCCGGTGTCCTCCGCCCTGCGCTATTTTGGCGACGAGTTTGAAGCCCACATCCGCGAAAAGCGACACACCGGATACTGCCCCGAGCAGGTCTTCTCCCCTCGCCTGACCCGTCGCTAACCAGACCGTCTTTCTCCCCTGGCATCCACCTCCCCGGAGCGAAAATCCCAATGCCTGACGACATCATCATCTCGATCGACGGCGTCGAGATTAGAACCCAACCAGGCAAGATGGTGCTGGAAGCCGCCATCGAGTCCGGCGTCTACGTCCCCTACCTCTGCTACCACTCGGGTATGAAGCCTTTCGGGGCCTGCCGGATGTGCGTGGTCGCCGTCGAGGGTGGACGCGGCTTCCCGGCAGCCTGCACTCTCCCCGTAGCCGACGGCATGACCATCTGGAGCGACACCCCAGACGTTACCGAACTCCGCCGTTCCGTAATGGAAATGTTGATTGCTGAGCATCCCAACGGCTGCCTCACCTGCCACCGCGTCGACATCTGCGGCCCATCTGACGTTTGCCTGCGCCACGTGTCCGTCAACGACCGCTGCGTAACCTGCCCCAAAAACGAACGCTGCGAATTCAAGGACACCGTCCGGTACCTCGGCATGGAGCTGGAATCTCCCATGACCTACGTATACCGGGGATATTCCCCTCGAAGTGCAGGACCCTTTCTATGATCGCGACCTCAACCTTTGCATCACCTGTGGCCGCTGCGTTCGCGCCTGCGAAGAAGTGCGCGGCGACAACGCCATCTGCTTCACCGAGCGCTCCGGCAACGCGCTGGTCGGTACCTCCTTCGGCACCTCCCTGCTGGAATCGGGCTGCGAATTCTGCGGCGCCTGCATCGACGTCTGCCCCGTAGGCGCACTCACCGAGCGGGACAACAAGTGGGAAAAACCCGCCAGCGTAGAACGCACCGTCTGCACCCATTGCCCGGTCGGCTGCCAGATCAACCTGGAGCAAAATGAGCAGGGCCGGGTCATCCGCGCCGTGCCCGAATTCAACTCGCCAGCCAATCACGGCCAGGCTTGCTACAAGGGCAAGTTCGGACTCAGCCATATCACCAGCAGCCAGCGGCTGCGCCGACCCCTGATTCGCCGCAACGGTCAGTTGGAACCCGCCACCTGGGACGAGGCCCTCGACCTGGTTGCCGAAAAGCTCCGACCTCACCAGAACGGCGCCGGATTCGGCCTCATCACCGCCGCCGACAGCACCAACGAGGAGCTTTACCTCGCCCAGAAATTCGCCCGCCTCGGCATGAACACCAACAATGTCGACCACTCCGGCAACACCCAGCCCACGCTGGTCAGCGGGCTGGAAGACGTACTCGGATACCCCGGCGCCTCCAACTCCATCTGGGACCTGGCAAAGGCCGGCTGCATCCTCGTCTTCAACACCAACCTCACCGAAAGCCACAACGTCGTCGGCGTGCCCATCAAACAGGCCGCCCAGGCCGGTACTCCGCTCATCGTAATCGACATCAGAGAAGTGGAGTTGACCCGCTACGCCGATCTCTGGTTGCGCCCAATCCCGGGCTCCGAGCTGGTGCTCATCGGCGCCATCCTGAAAACTATCATCGACGAAGGCCTCACTGACTCCGAATGGCTCGCCCAGTACGCCGAAGGTCACGACACCCTTGCTTACGAGCTCGAACGCATCGACGACGCAGCCATCGCCGCCACTGGCGTCCCGCCGGATGACATCGTCCGCGCCGCCCACCTGTTCGCCAGCGCCAACGAAGCCGCCATTGTGTACGGCCTCGACAACGTTCCCGACGCCATCGCTACGGATTGCGTGGTCGCTTTGGCCGACCTCGCCCTCCTGACCCACAACGTCGGCAACGCCAACGGCGGCATCTTCCCCATGCGCCAGGGAGCCAACGGACAGGGGGCCACCGACGTCGGCTGCACTCCCTATCGGCTCCCCGGAGGTGGCCCGCTCCACGACGACGAACACCGCGCCGCGGTGGAAGCCGCCTGGGGCATCACCCTACCGTCCCAAACCAGCCGGGGCACGGCGTCAATGCTGCAATCCGCCGCCGACGGAACCATCCAGACCATGCTCCTGATCGGCGACAGCAACAACTTCGCCAGCGGCGCCTTCGGACACGGTATTGACACGCTCGAACGCCTCGATTTCCTCGTCGTGGCCGAGTCTTTTCTGACCCCGGCAGCCCAAGTCGCCGATGTGGTGTTGCCCCGCTCCACCTTCGCCGAAAAACACGGCACCTTCACCAATCTCGAGCGTCGCATCCAGCGCGTGCGTCCGTCAGTAACCGTCAGGAACAACGACGCCATGCCCGAAGGCTGGGTACTGACCCAACTCGCCCAACGCCTCAACATTCCCGGCATCGACTACTCCGACCCATCGGCGGTAATGGATGAGCTCGCTGCCATCACCGTCAACTACGGCGGCGTCAGCTACGCCCGCCTGGCCGCCGAATCCACCCTGGTGATGAAAACGGGCGTCGATGCCCCGCGTCCGACCCAGCTCCTCTACACCACCCGCGAAGAACGCGGCATCCAGTGGCCGTGCCCCAGCGCCGACAGTCCGTCCTCCCCAGCCCTGTACCGCGATGGCTTCCCCAGCGGCACAGCCGAACCCGGCGCGCCCTACTTCCACATCGTCGACCCGCCCACCGATGCCCATCGCCCGGCGTTGTACGCCCCCGGCCGCGTCCTGCTGCAACGCGACCGAGACATGACCATCGAACCTGACGGCATCAGTTCCAACGGCCTCAATCGCATCGTCCGCGACGAACTCGTCCAGCTCAATCCGGCCAACGCCGTCGAGTGGGGCATCGCTGACGGCGACCCGGTAGCCGTAGAGACACCCCGCCATCGCCTCACCGGCGTAGCCTCTATCGACACCCGCATCCCAATCGGCATCGTGGCCACAACCACCCTGTTCGGTCAGCTGGCCATCGAACTGCAAATGTCCGAGGACATCAACCCCATGGCGCGTGTGCCGGGCCTTGACGTGGAACCCTGCGCGGTGGTGTCGTTGGTGACCTGATCGGCCCAACGCACCCAACCGGTTTACAACTTCGCAACATTTATGCGGTATTATAGTTAGGGTACCGGCGGCCATCGGGCGTCGGCGCAACTATTTGAAATGGTCGGCTATGTTCCGCCTGCGCAATAATTACCTGGAGACAAGATGACCAACCTGCGCACCGCGCGTGTAACCCAAGACCGCACTTTAGACCTGCCCCGAGCCAAACTGGTCGAGCGCGTCGATTACACCGACGACCTCATGGTCATCAAACTGGAACCGCAGGATCTGGATTTCAACTTCAACCCCGGACAATACTGCACCCTGGGCCTCGAAGGTATCGAGCGCGCTTACTCAATCGTCTCCGCTCCCCACGAACCCCTGCTGGAAATCTTCGTTGAACTCGTGCCCGACGGCCAACTCACTCCGCTCATGTGGCAAATGGGCACTGGCGACACCATGTCGATCCGGCCCGGACCCAAGGGAATCTTCGTCATGGATCCCACCGTAAACCAGCACCTTATGCTTGGCACCGTAACCGGCACTGCCCCCTTCGTCAGCATCGTCCGCGATCACCTGCACTACAACCGATCCGGCCACCATTTCTACATCCTCGAAGGCGCATCCTACGTCGACGAGTTCGTATACGACACCGAGTTGCTGGACCTATCCGCAGCCCACCCCGACGTTGTAACCTTCGTGCCAGCCATCAGCCGCCCCAACGAAGCGCGCAACGCAGCCTGGGAAGGCGAAACCGGGCGCCTCAACGCCATCGTCGCCAAATACCTGCACCAGTTCAAACTGGACCAGTCCGACACCCTGGTCTACGCCTGCGGACACCCCGGTATGATTGAAGGCAGCCGGGAGATCGTTGCGGGCGAGGGCTGGAAGTGGACTGAAGAGCGCTTCTGGAAAGAGTAAAGCCACCTCTTCAATAGCTCCGATAACCCGGCCAATCCAAAAGACGCAATATCCCCTCTCCCTCTATGGGAGAGGGCTAGGGTCAGGGTGGCCTCCCCCACGACCGCCGCAACCGCCACCCCAGTATCCTCCGAACAACGTCCCCCGCCATCCCGGCGGGCTTTTTTATGTTCACCCTCCCGGTGCGGTAGAATCCCCACATGGCTACCGCTCGCATCACCCCCGTCCGCCGTCAATACCTGACCATTAAGCATTCCTACCAGGACGCCGTGCTGCTGTTCCGGATGGGAGATTTCTACGAGTCTTTTGACGACGACGCCCGCACCCTGTCCGAAGCGCTGGAAATCGTCCTCACCTCCCGCACCATGGGCAAGGACACCCGCGTCCCCATGGCCGGCGTCCCCGCCGTGTCGCTGGAAGCCAACCTCGCCCGCCTGATTCGCAAGGGACACAAGGTTGCCATCTGCGAGCAGCTCAGCGACCCGGCCCTCTCCAAGGGTCTGGTAGAGCGCGGCGTAGTCCGGGTCGTAACCCCCGGCACCGTCCTCGAATCCACCCTCCTCGACAACAACGCCAACAACTACCTCGCCGCCGTCTGCGCCGACGACACCAAGGCCGGCCTGGCCTACGTGGACGTAACTACCGGCGAGTTCATCGCCGCCCAGGTCCCCATCGACCGCCTCCCTCTGGAAATCGCCCGTATCCAGCCCTCCGAAGTGTTGGTCCCCGCCAACCAATACTCACCCGGTGACGACGCGCCCCACTTGATTACCGCCGGCAACCCAAACCTGATCACCACCCCGGTGGACGCCGCTGCCTTCAACCCCGACGTTGCCCAACGCAGCCTCCTCGACTATTACGGCGTTGCCACCCTGGAAGCCTACGGCGTCGAATCCATGCCCCTCGCCATCCGAGCCGCCGGCGCCATCGTCGATTACCTCCATTACGCGTACAAGGGCGAGCAGCCCCGACTCAACCCTCTGTCCACCTACAACACGGCGTCGCACATGACCCTCGACCCCCAGACTCGGCGCAACCTGGAACTGTACGAGGCCGGCCGCTGGGACTCCACCGATTGGTCGCTCCTCTCCGCCCTGGACAACACCCGCACCCCGCTGGGCGCGCGACTGCTCCGCCGTTGGGTGGGTCAACCCCTTTTGGACCTGGAACGCCTCCAGCGCCGGCAGGATGGCGTGCAGTTCTTTTACGACGACGCCTTCCGCCGCAACGACGCCACCAGCGCCCTCGCCGACATCTCCGACATCGAACGCATCCTGAGCCGAATCCAGACCCAAACCGCCCCGCCGCGGGATCTGCTGGCGCTGCATCGTAGCCTCGCCGCCACCCGGAAACTGGCTCAGGTTCTGACCGCACCCGACGTCCCTGCCGTGTCCTCGCTGTCATCCGAGTTGCGTCCCATGCCCGAAGTCGAAGCCCTCATCGAACAGGCCATCGCCCCGGAACCCTCCGGCCAAATCGGTGAGGGCAACGTGATCCGCGAAGGTTTCTCACCCGAACTGGATCGCATCCGCACCCTCGCCCGCGACGCCCGCAGCTTCATCGCCAGCATGGAAACCCGCGAGCGCGAACGCACCGGCATCCGCAACCTGCGCGTCGGCTACAACCAGGTTTTCGGCTACTACATCGAAATCACCCGCTCCAACCTGACCGCCGTGCCCGACGATTACCAACGCCGCCAAACGCTCACCAACGGCGAGCGGTATATCACCCCCGAACTCAAGGAGTATGAGAGCCAGGTCCTCGATGCACGCGAACGGCTGGACGATCTGGAACGTACCCTCTACCGCCAGGTCTGCCGGCAAATCGCCGACAACGGGCCGGCCATCTCACGCCTCGCCAATGCCATCGCCCGCACCGATGTCTTCGTCAGTCTGGCCAGCATCGCCGTCCGGCACGGCTACGTCCGCCCGACCCTCAGCGACGGCCACGCCATCCGCATCACCGATGGCCGCCACCCGGTGGTGGAACGCGTCCTGGACACCGGCGCCTTCGTCCCCAATGACGCGGCTCTCGACTCCGACGACGCCCAGATTATGGTAATCACCGGCCCCAACATGGCCGGCAAATCCACCTATATCCGGCAGATTGCCCTCATCGTCCTCATGGCCCAGCTGGGCAGCTCCGTCCCGGCAGCCTCCGCCGAAATCGGCCTCGTCGACCGCATCTTCACCCGCGTCGGCCTGCAGGACGACCTCGCCACCGGGCAGTCAACCTTTATGGTCGAGATGGTCGAAACCGCCGCCATCCTCAATCAGGCTACCCACCGCTCGCTGGTCATCCTCGATGAAATCGGGCGCGGCACCAGCACCTACGACGGCCTGTCCATCGCCCACGCCGTGGTCGAACACCTGCACAACAACCCGCGCCTCGGCTGCAAAACCCTCTTCGCCACCCACTACCATGAGCTGACCGACCTGGCCGCCACGCTACCCGGCGTTCGCAACTATCGCGTGGCCGTATCCGAGGATGACGGGCAGGTCGCCTTCCTGCGTCGCATCGTCCCCGGCGGCGCCGACCGTTCCTACGGCGTCCACGTCGCCAACCTGGCGGGTATGCCCAAAGCCGTCGTCAATCGCGCTCAGGAACTGCTGGCCGCCCTGGAATTGCGACCGGCGTCCCCGCTGGCCAATATCCCCCCCCCTGCAGGGCGCTCCCGCCGTAATGCCCTGAAAAAACCCGCTCTCCCAGCCCACTG